CAGAGAGCACCAGGGCAAAGAAATGCCTATTGGAGATTTGGTGTGAATTCTCCATTCTTCTCTTACTGAAGTCACAAAACAGTGAACAGAAGCTTAAATTTGCTTAAATTTCTGTTTCTATACACAAACTGACCTCCTGGGATTGGTGGATAGAAGCTGACTTCAGCTGGCTCTTCTTATACACTGCCCACCAGGGAACACATGGAAGGCCATCTTGTCTACCCTGACCTCTGTGTTGTTCAGAGGTCTATTCAGTCATCACCAACCACTGCCAGGTTTGTGGGAATGGCTCCAATTGTCTTCCTGGGCACAAGCAAGCTCAGTTCTCTCTTCTGTTTCTCTCAGACAGCTTTCCAGAAATCTTGGGTAGATTTTTGTGATTTACTATGAAAGATTAGATTAGATCTAATATTGGGAAAAATTCCACTGAAGGTCAAGTTCCCTGGGTCATGATATTTTCTTACCCAATGACTTCTCTCAGTTCACTAGGTTGCGAGTAAGAGCAATGACTCGGCCCCATGGGCTAAGATTATCTGTATTCTAGCAGGCTGAGATGTCAGGTTCCTTCCTTTCATTTCTTAATCCCAAGTGAAAGTATTATGCAGGTCACATGATGACCAATGTGGCCCACTGAGTAATAAATATGATGTGACTTCTAATACTTTATTTGCAGACTTTTCTTAGAAGGCTTGGCCCTAATTTTGTGGCTGTTTTCTCTTCTAAATTGCTTTACCCCTCAGCTAGAGACAGACTGCCTCAGAGGTGCTTGAAGCCTGTGTTTTAACCCTACTGACAGAAGTGCACTAACATAGAGCACCATTGCAATTTCCCCATGTTCTGAAGACTGCATTAGTCTTTTGTCTTTCTGAGGGGCTAAACCTTGGGCTGAAGATGCTCAGAGATGGTCATTATACATTTCTAACTGCTCCCTGGGTAAACTACAAAAACGTTGTGAACCCCAGCCTGACTGTAGTTATACAGCAATGTGAAGAGACACTTGCTTTTGAAAGAGCTACTGGTTCTTTTGTTTAAAGAATTGTTTCACATGGGCAAATGGGAACAGGTAGAGTCTTTCAGGACCATGTAACAACAGAAACAACAGGATCTAGAGAGCATTTATTAGACCTAATGTTCAACATGACTCATACAGATCAACTCACTTAATTCTAACTCTATTTTTTGAGGTGTCAACTTAGATAAAGAAGTTGAGGTCTAGAGAGGTTAAGTAACTAACCAAGAGTCTCAGAACATACAAGAAATTGCTTAGAACCAGAACCTAGTGTGAGTCAGAGCCATTGCATGCATGACCATTATATTATATTGCCTTCTGGATGAGACTCAAACCAATCCACTTTAATGTGTATGCTGAAAGAGGCTGAACTTAGTTATGTAGGAGCTCTCCCTCAAACCCTCTCAAGACTGATGGTGTGCTCACCTATCACAGTAGAGAGTTGAAGGCAACCAGCAAAAAGAAGAGGATAAGCTTGGGAGAAGAACTCTGGGAGCAGAAGTGGCAGAGGGACCAGGAAATTCCTGGGAGGAATGTAGAGGAGAGAAGAATTCTGTCTCCCCTTTTCAGCAGCTTCTCTCTGCACTCAAGGGGCCTGGTGCTTGATGATAAACACTTCTCCAGAGGGAAGATTCTCAATGGCAAAGAGAGATGTTCTGGATATGGAGAGGCATTAATGTAAGGCTAGAATTTCCCACAATGCATCTATGCTCAATGAGCTGTCCCTGCTGGAGAGTGTGAGAAACAGAGGCTGGGTTCACCCACAGTAGGGGAAAATCAGGATAGAACTGCCATGGGGAGGGCTTCATATTTGGGCAAAATCTAGTAGGGCAATTAGAAAGCCATGGGATGGCAATGAGATAAGGGTCAAGCCCTTCATGGACATAGCATGAGCTTCCAGACTACAGTAGTGGTGGGTGAGTGCTCAGTAGAGCAGACTCCTCTCTCCTCGTCCTGCTGCCCCCATATATCCCAGACCTCTGGACTACCCCTCATCTAATCCCTTCTTATGACTTCAGACACCACCATGTTGCTTACGTAGTTGTTTGCGCCTTCTTCTTGGGAGTGCATGCCCTGCGTGATTAGTGTTATTTTGTTAATATTTTGATCACAGTTTAAAAGGCTTATTTCATGCATTATAAATAGTGGCGAGTGAATGAATGTGTTATTGGGAGTCCAGCAGGACAGAAGTTTGGGGGTTATCAGTGTCCCCTGCTGAGCCTTGTTCTTTACTGTCTGCATTTCAGCTGTTTAGGGGTAGGTGCTGACTGGGTATGCACTCTTGTCCTCTCCTCTACTCTTCTTTGCTTTCCTCTCTTCCTTCCTCCCACCCTCACCCCTACTCTCACACTTCTCTACCTCCCCCACCCTCACTCCACATTTCTGTCTTCATTTCTCCATCTTCACCCCACACTTCTCTCTCCATCTCCCCTACCTTCAACCCTACCCCTGAACTTCTCTCTCCATCTCCCCTACCTTCAACCCTACCCCTGAACTTCTCTCTCCATCTCCCCTATCTCCACCCCTACCCCTGAACTTCTCTCTCCATCTCCCCTATCTCCACCCCTACCCCTGAACTTCTCTCTCCATATCCCCTACCTTCAACCCTACCCCTGAACTTCTCTCTCCATCTCCCCTACCTTCAACCCTACCCCTGAACGTCTCTCTCCATCTCCCCTATCTCCACCCCTACCCCTGAACTTCTCTCTCCATATCCCCTATCTCCACCCCTACCCCTGAACTTCTCTCTCCATCTCCCCTATCTCCATCCCTACCCCTGAACGTCTCTCTCCATCTCCCCTATCTCCACCCCTACCCCTGAACTTCTCTCTCCATCTCCCCTACTTTCACCCCTACCCCTGAGGTAAGAGTTTAGGGTGGGTGAGATGGCTAGAAACGACCAGGGGACAAGGAAACTCTTACAGTGAAGGAAGCAGACAGACCTCAGAGGTTGCAACCCTCTTGTTCTGGATCTAGAGAGCAGAGTTTCCCAGATACAGAACAAAGTCCACCTGTGGCTTCAGGTTAATTGTTTGCTGCCATAAAAAACTTTCAGAAGCCATGGGCTTTATCGAGGGAAGAAAAACTTCAAACCTGGCTCCTTTGATGACATTTCCTGTTTGCGATGATTTTTTCCTTGCTTATCTAACAAACATTTCTATAGTGCTCATTGTACACCAGGGACTGTTGTAACTAGTTCTAAAGCAAATAATATTCCTCCCCTTCACAAATAGAGAGGCAGGGGAAGAGGGCACCAGGTAACTTGCCACCGCGCAACAAAGCTGTCACCACAGAAAGCTGCAGCTAGTGCCCAGGCTGGCAGGTCTGCACCCCTCCCCCAAAACACAGCTGTGGCTCCCAGCTATCGGCCAGCACACCACGTCTGAATCTGAGGATATGTTGGTGGGTATTGGTTGAGGTCTCATTAAGAATCTTCCACGAATTCTCTATATCCTTGCAATGGTGACAAAATCCTACAGTGGGAGATAAACGATAGTTTTCACTTCCAAGAAATAAGAGTTCCCTATCCGGTTTGTCTTAATGCATTGATCAGCTAGTATGCGTATGTACATAAATAATATTTTACATATATAAACATACATATCAGAATGTGTGTGCTTATACATATATATATTCAAATGCTACATGAATATATTTTGCCTAATCCATAGAGAGCGTCATCAATATTTCTTCTTTATTCTTTTTTATGCCAGCAGCTTTCTTCATGCATTTCCATTTTTCAGAGTGATTGGATTAGGTCGCATATACTTCTCCTGAAATATTAAGTACATACAATCACATCCACACACATTGGGCCTGTAGTTATGATCTATCATTTCGAAAATCCACATGGCAACAAAGAACACAACAGGGCCGAGTGCAGTGAAGTATTGGGTCCAAAGAACCTCCTGCCATTCATCTTCTGCTAATGCAGGGCCCAACAAGACCCTGGAGTTGCTGTCCCGTTGGCAGATCCTTTGTGCTAAAACTCTGAAACTACATAGGAATGCACACATGCTCGCGCGTGCACACTACACTGGCCTGCTTACACTGATTTCATGTTTGTTTATGAGGATGAATCAGAGAGAGTTATAGTCAAGTAGGCAAAGGAGGGTTACCTAATGTGACATTCCTGGGCTTTTTTTTTTTACGGGTGATAAGATACTAGCATACGTGTCTATCTAACTTGTTGAATCTCATCTTCACATTTATTTTTGGAAAAGCAATGCTACATGCAGAATAGAATGGTTGGGACGGATTGGCATCATTTTAAGCTTCTAATTGACACCACCCAACAACTTCCCACACATTGCTTTCCCTCAGGAACCCCTGGGTTGAAAGCTCCAGGTCTAGGTGTCTAGGTCTCAGCTGGTTCGTTTGCCTTCCTCATAGGGTTTTCTATGTGTTGTCTCCTACTTCAAAGACCAGTCGTGTTTAGTATTGTACATTTTCTCGACTGGTAGATGTCACTATACCTACTTCCTAGACTCCTCTGTATTTCCCACATTAGGCCATTTTATTTTATATCTTACCACTTGATTTTGGCATGCTCACACCTGTGAACACGCATTGGCTTTACTATCATCTTTCCTTAAAGACGAATGCTCAGAACTTGAGTCCTTGTCCTTTGCCTTAAAACAGTTCAAAATTGGTCTAAAGTTGAATCTATAAGTAGAAAGAAAAAAAACTACCAGTCTCTTCAATATTTTCACATACAATTCATGGAAAAGTAAATTTAATTATATTAGTCGTTTTGTTCCACAAGGAAAAAAAATCTTGTATCCTGTGACGACATGGTATTACTCACTGAGTAGTCCTATCCTTAGCTATTTATGTCATCTACAGTACTCAAGCATCCAGATTTAGCTGGTCCTTTTGTCCACACAACTCACCATATAAGGATGCTCTTACATATGTACAGATCCTTGTGGTTAACATCATGAACCAAACATCCTGATTATTTCGTGATTTTTTTCTTTTTGCATTTCAGCTGGATGCTTCGGCTTTGTGCAGACAGATTGCAGCACGCTTGCCAGTATGTGTCCTTTTGAATCTGCTTTATTGATGTAGAACAAAGTTTCATTTGCTCACCGATTTTAATTTGAGAAAGAAAAGCTAATGGATGCTGGATTGCCTTCTTCAGAGAAGGTAATAAGCCTCATATGTTTTATAAAAAGCTACCACCCTCTGATTGTCAAAGTTTGCTTCTTTCTTTCCAGATTCTTCTTTGTATTGTTTTACAATCTAGGTATATCTGTTTAACATGAAATGCAGAAAATGACAGGGCTCAGACAGCTACTGCATCCAGTGACAAAGATTACTGTCATCCTGGCTCATCAGTTAATTCATCATTGGCAATGGTCCATTCCATTTCCTGGTAGCCTAGCAACAGCCAATGATGGGGAGGGCTGTTTGCCATGTGACAATGGTATGTGGTACTTTCCAGAATGCTTTTACATAAAAATAGGATGATAATTTATAAATTTACATTTTTATTTTAATAAATGGGAATATTTGGTTTTAGGGGTTGACATTCACACGGGAGCCAATTTTATTGTGCAGACCATGACTTTAAAGTGCAGGACTGGTGACTGGAGAACAGAAATGGAGCCGTCAGTTTCACACATAAGTGGGGCTTGAAGTTGAGAGCCCAAATGCCTTACTTTACCTGACTGTGAGTTATGCTTTCCCACAGACTAAGCACGCAAAAATAGTATAGTGAAATGACAGCTATTCTTACAGCACTGTGAGAACACACACACACACACACACAATGAGATTTTTGGGTCTGAACTCTGAAGTCTAGTGTTTTTAACATTGATTGTAATTTTTCAAAAGCAAAGAAATCTTTGCGCAACACTGTTGTTCTCAGTACTTAAATTCAGTTTCCCACAGAGCTCCTAACCCTCTACTGATGACTCACTGCTCAGCAAGCCATTTAAAAACCTGCCTATTTGTTTTCACTGACTGAATTCCCCCGTTTTAGTGTGTATGGGTATATTAGCTGCTATTGAAGCTATCTTCTGTTGAAGAAGTGATAGAAAGTCCTATTTAAATGTCACAATGCTTCTCTTGTGATGACTATATCATTAAGTAAATAGTTTTATTTTAGTCCTATAGTTAAGAAAATCTATAATCACCTCCATATACATTTTTTGGGGTTGAAAATCTGTATTTAGCCCCATCTTTAGAGACAGGAGTGGAAAATAGGCAACCACCTAAGACACGGATTCTGTTAAATATTAAAGAGAACTCATCAATGATTTTATTAGTCTCTGAGCTCAGTAAAGTCCTCACTGACATCGAGAGCCTAATGATTTTTTAAAATATATTTAAAGCCTTGCACTGCACCTTTAAATATTGAACAATATTGAAAAATATTGAAGCCCTTTTTCGTATATTAGCTTTAGGCAGAACTGTTGTATGATTTCCACTCCTCTCATGACATTGTAATGATGTTACCACATACAACTTTATCTTGCATGAAAAGGTGAAGTCATGAGTGATTTCTCCAATTTAAAAGCACTCAACCCTCACAGTGCTAGAAATGAATATTTTGCATATATTCATGCAACAATGATTCAATTTAAGATTTCTATTTTCAAACATTGCTTGAAACCTTCAGTATGTTAGCAGTAAAATTGCCAAAATGTGTAATAAGATTTATTATAGATGAGTAGCATTTTATTTAGTATTTCATGTTAACATGCTTTTAGGGTTACCTGCGTTAGCAGGAGAATCCATCTTTCTAATCAGAGATAACGTTTTATTGTATTTTTAAAAATATTTCTCCACACACACACATATTATGGCACAAACTGATTTTTTTTCCTGGCAATGCAAATCTAAACATTGCTCATATCAACACTCAGAATCCTCACACAAAGCCACTCTGGTTAAGGACAGGGGCAAAAGCCTTATGTGTGCTTCCTGCCTCCTGCCTGTTCTCTGCAGTTCGTCTGTGGGCCCTTTTCTGTGTGTCCTTAGAATGGGCTAGGAATTCTTCTGTGGAAGGTCCATCTCCCACGTCTTGTTCCACACCTGCTTCTGGGGTGCAGACGCTTGATGTCATAGAAAAGTAAGCAGCTTCTAGGTCTCTACATCAAACCACGGAGACAAGCACAGGCTAGCCAAAGCCCTTAGCTGAAGGGGCCGTGTTCCCGGAAGAGGTCTGCAGAGATGGAAGAATGAATGTGTCTCAATGTGGTGACCTGCAGGCTCTGAGACAAGAGATAAGAATTGTGTAACCATTTCACAGACATGCCTGGGATTGCCACAGTGGAGCACAAAGAGAGGCTAAGCCATGCTGTCTCTGGGATCATGGTTCATTTTAGGCTCTAGTCTTGTTTCCATCCAAGTGTTCCATCATTTCTGCAGTGAGCAAGGGGGTCTTCACGGCCTGGCTTGGTGGCTTTCATAGAGCATAGGTCCTCTTCAAGGGTGTCCTCACATATACACAATCATACTAATACACAAAACAGAGCTCTATGCTTGTGGGTGAGTTTCTACTACGTGTCTGGTCACAGGAAGAACATACTGACTGATTTTCATTCAGATGACACCTACTGTCGCTAGCAACTAACCATGTGCACAGTCATTCCTAGATGACACAGCAATGCGGATGCAGATTTTTCTTTGGTTGTCTTTAATTTCACGGCATAAAAAGTTAGTGCAAACTGGAGGAGGCATCATGGCAGCTAGTGGCTTGTCCTGCATTTTTAGGCGGGAAAGCTGATGGTGATCTTATTAGGCTCCTGGGTGGGCCAAATTTTCCTAATTAAATGGAAATCAGAAACAGCCCTCAGACTGTGGTGGTATCTTACTTGTGAGGAGTAAACACTCCCCTGCTGTCACTAATGTCCTGTAAATCATGTTAAAGAGAAGCATAATTAACATTTTTGATCAAATCAAGCTTCAAAGCTAATAGGTGCTTGAATGAGTAAAGCCACATTTTCTAGTCAACCATGAATTGATTCTCCAGGAAATGACAATACTTAGGGCATCTCTGTATGCCTCTCCAGCCCCCCATTTACTTTGTGGACACCTGCACCAGGTGAGGAGAGCTTTGGGATAAAAGTCTCAGCAGTCCCACTCTGGGTTTCTGGACCAAAGCTCTTGGAAACAAAGGGTGTGAGGTGAGACACAGAGAGGGGACAGCCACCCCAGGTCGAAGAAGAAACTTTGCACTTTCTATTCAAAAAAGCATATCTTTTCTGGGCATGGTCAAATTAGTTCCACTTGTCATACACAAACCATTTAGGGAGAACAGTGTTCCTGGTTAAAAGACAGGTGGCTTGGCATAAACTATTCCCATCTTCATGTTTTTAAAAAAATGTATGTTGAAAAAATATTCATCAAATTGCCAAAGGCTAATTAGAAATGAAGCTGGTATGCAGGTGAGTGCCCAAGTGGAATAGTTGAAAGATATTTCAAAGGCATTTAGTCCCCCAAGGACACCGTCCAGAGACAGCCCCTGGAGCCTGTATAGGAAACAATGCTGTACTTTCTTTCAAGGACAGAAAAAGAGGATGGGGGAGAAAGGGAAGAGGGGCACGGGTGGGAGTGGAGGAGGAGGAAGCAGAAGCCACCTCCCCAAAACTTCAGTGACAGATGTCTTTCGAAGTTAGCAGTTGATTTGTACTCACACTGGAATTCTAGTGTGCTCTGGGGCTGACGGCTCAGCGTCGAGAAGCATCGTCGGCAACCAAAGCAGATTTAAGGACAGAACCCACCTCTTCCACTCTTATCCAATGAAACAGAGGGGACATAATTTGTTCTTAGTTCCTCTTCTGTGTACAAGGGAGCAATGTTCCCAGGTGACATCCGGTGTTGGAGTAATGTATCTGGGATTAGCCCAAGGCTCCTCCTACAACTCTTCTGGCTCCTTCTGAAACACAGTGTATGAATTTATTTCTACAACCCCAAGACCCAGTGTTGCTTTGCGGCCTCTGCCTTGAGTTGAGATAAGTCTCTCAGAGGAGGCGATCTTACTCTCTGTCAGTTGGTTGTATGCCTGGAGAGGGGTATTGGGAACGTAGGGACTAGGTTATACTAAGACCATTTATGTAAATAAACAGAATAAGCAAGAGTCCAATCACACACACATACACATATATCTTGGAAAAGAACTATATTTTATACTAGGATCATATAAATTGCATTCATTTTCACCATTGTATACCTTGGTGCACAGAACAGAGGATCTGTAGGTTGTAGGTTTCTGCAATAGGTTTCAATTTTAAGGTTCAAACACGTTTGCTGATATGGATATGCAAGTATGGATGTGTGTGCAGTAAAATGTACATTTTTACTTATATTACTATTCTCTTTAAAGGAACTAAATTTAAATACAACAATGAAGAGTGCTATTTTATACATTTGAAAGTTATTTATATGAATTTATAAATCAGAAAAATCCCAAGTCTTTATTAGGCTGTGAATTCCAAATTAAGGCTTAAGAAATGAATCTTAATGCCTACTGATTCTCTTTCTTGGGCTAGAGTGCTCAGAAAAGGAATGGGTTAAAAAGACAAATCTAGCCAGGCAATGGTGGCACCAGCCTTTAATCCTAGCACTTGGGAGGCAGAGGCAGGCAGATCTCTGTGAGTTCTAGGTCAGCTTGGTCTACAAAGATACACAGAGAAACCCTGCCTCGAGAAAACAAAACAAAACAACGATAACAACAAAAAAGACAAATTTGGGCTAGGGAGATGGCTAAATTGCTGAAGGACCTGCTTGAAGGTAGGTGTGAGGATAGGAGTTCAAATCTTCTGGGCGGGTGTGGTTGCCAGCCTGTAATTCCAGTCTCAGAGGACTGAAAAATGGAGATTCCCTAGAGTGGTCTGGCTAGCAAGTCTAGTTAATATAGAGCTGCTCTGGATTTGACTGACAGATCCTCCTACAGTGACTAGGATGGATGTGGACAATTCTCATCACCAACCAAGCCTCCTCGTGACTCTTGTGCACTTGTGCATTTAGAACCACAATGCTGTACACAAAACCACATAGTACACCAACAAACATATAAAACTATGAACATACATGGGGGGGAATAAAAAAGGGGAAATCTAGCCATGTTGAAATGATGTTTGCTTTAAAAGCCAGACCTAGCTTTCCTGGTACTCACCCAGATGGAGCCTAGTTCAGCACCGTTCCTTCCTTCTTATTTTGTTTTG